ATTACCCCAAACAACCCCATACAACCCTGCAAATTCAGTCCTTAAAGAACCTTGAATATGTTTGTTTTCGTTCAGTTATCATAAAGAAAACAATCCGATGATTTACAGTGCATCTATAAATATGTAAAGAAAGTGCAGATGCCTTTGAATGGACTGAGGAATGTTTATTTGTTATTGCCATGATTCATCGTTCAAAACAGTGCAAAACAGACACATATAGAGCCACATTTGTAAATCATCTATTTCAAGATTTTTAAAATCTGTTGCTTGTCCATGCAAAACAGGTCGATAGTGTGTTGCTATGTGGTTATATACTATAGCATTCAGTGGTTGCTAGGGAATTTTTGAACGATATTCCAAATAGAATGTTTTTTTTTTCTTGTATTTTTGGATATGGGTTGTATTCCATAGAGGATGGGAGCATATATCTTTGGGAAACAAATAAAAAAGATTTTTAAAAAAAGAGTACTTATTATGAAATATGAACATATTTATGAAATATAATATAATTAAAATAAGTGACTGTAATGTTTTTAGGCACCTAATTGCATGTTACTGCATTATGTATTATAGTTAACTTGTGTTTTTGACCCACTTAAGTACATCTTTATATGATATTTCATAATTACTTCTATTTTCTTTCAAATAAAGTGTACTGCAGAATGTACTGACAAGCATTTATGGTAACCTAAAACATACTATAATTTGATTTCCATTGAAACTCGTATGCCATGTATTGAAATATATTTGTAATTACACTTTTGTAATGATGACGACGCAATTGAATACATTTAAAATATATTATCATTAAATGTTTTATCAAATAACACACTACATTTAAAATTGGATTCAGATACTTTACATGTGCTTTGTTAGCCAACACATCAAAATAAGTTTACTTCTTTAAAACCACAAAAGATAAATAAAGCAATAATTTAAAATGTACTTTACAATTTTTCATTTTAATTATTTTAAAGTGCATTTAAGTGTGTTAAACATAATAATGAAAGTGTACTCTCTTTAAGTACGCTTTTATTTCATATTATATTATCTGTGAGTACAGCCTTTTTAAATATATACTTTTAAGATTTGAAGTACACTACAAGTGCACATCAATACAATTAAGCACACTTCTTTTTCACTAGTGTATATTGTAAAGAAATGTCATTGTTAAAATACTCTCAAAGTTAAAATATGTGCCCTGGGTTCCACATCGTGATGCTTGTATATGAGTCTGTGGTTTAGTAAGGGAAGTAGAGTTGTTGTTGTTGTGGTGTGTGTGTGTGTGTGTGTGTGTGTGTAATTTATGTACTGGTTTATATATCCTGGTGGGGACTTAAACCTGACTACACACAGACTCATGGGGACTCGTGTCACGGTGGGGACCCAAATTGTGGTCCCCACGGGTACAAAAGCTTATAAATCATACAGAATTAAGTTTTTTGAAAATCTAAAAATGCAGAAAGTCTCCTGTGAGGGGTAGGTTTAGGGGTAGGGTTGGTGTAGGGCAATAGAATATACGGTCTGTACAGTATAAAAACCATTACGCCTATGGAGAGTCCCCATAAACCATAAAAACAAACCTGTGTGTGTGTGTGTGTGTGTGTGTGTGTGTGTTTATGTGTGTGTGCGCCGCAACTCTGCTGTCTGTTTTGGGTGTTGTCTTCATGTGAATCAGAGGGCTGGATTGCATTAGCATTCTCAGATGAGCAGACTTGAGGTTTCGGGAATTAATGTGTTCATAAAAAAGAATTCAGCAGAACTGAAAACATATGGGAACTTCTGGACAAAGATCATTAAAGGGATTTCCAAAGCAAGTCTGGAGTTTCCCTGCGTGAGACTAAAGCCAGACACTGAGTTGATTTCAACAGGTGTGTATATCAGGAGTACAGTAGTTCCTCTTTTTGGACTAGAGTGGAAAAATACTCAGGATCTTTGAATAAGGAATGTTTTAAACATTCAGCATTTTAAAAATGTTACTTTATACAGTGGATCTCAGCTTGTTTTGCTTCAGAGGCCAGGTTTTTAGTAACTCAACAGTACAAAAACCATTCATCGTACAAATTCCCTAGACTACGATAGACAATGTGGCACCACAACAAGGGGACACATTCTCTCAATATTCAGAGTAGTGCTCAACCTATATGGGTTTTTCAGTGGCCACATCTTAAATAGTAAATACAAGGATTCAGCCTAACAAAGAATCAAATACCAATAGTTATTTGTTGCTAGTGCAACATTATTTCATCCATGTCACAGTAAAGCGGAATTTATATGCTTATATTTTGAATATATAGCTGATTAATGTTTGTGTGCCTTGTTATAATTAAATCATGCATTATAATAGAGTGCTGAAGGGATGGCATATTTTCGATGCCCAAAACCCAGAGACGAGTTAACAGTTGAACACTTCTGGGTCCATTGCTCCTGAAGTCAGTGGGTGGTTAAATGCCTGAAAATAGGACTGTGGTTAACACAAACTAAGATATTTTGACATTTTATTTTAAAATATTAAATACCCCTTGTGCTTTTTTAAAAGCTTTTACTTGCCTTGAAAAATCTGGTTCCTAACAAGTAATGGGACCACAGATGTTGTCATTAAACATCATCACCCTGAAAAGGTAAACTCATCTATTTTTTTTAACCGGGGTGTAGTTCGTTTATAGTCTACATTTCGCTTTTTACTTCAACCGATTGAATTTAGCCTTCAAAATTTAAGTTGCATTCATTTGTGGAGATTATCATGATGAACAAAGGACATAAGAATCACGCCGCAACTCTGCTGTCTGTTTTGGGTGTTGTCTTCATGTGAATCAGAGGGCTGGATTGCATTAGCATTCTCAGATGAGCAGACTTGAGGTTTCGGGAATTAATGTGTTCATAAAAAAGAATTCAGCAGAACTGAAAACATATGGGAACTTCTGGACAAAGATCATTAAAGGGATTTCCAAAGCAAGTCTGGAGTTTCCCTGCGTGAGACTAAAGCCAGACACTGAGTTGATTTCAACAGGTGTGTATATCAGGAGTACAGTAGTTCCTCTTTTTGGACTAGAGTGGAAAAATACTCAGGATCTTTGAATAAGGAATGTTTTAAACATTCAGCATTTTAAAAATGTTACTTTATACAGTGGATCTCAGCTTGTTTTGCTTCAGAGGCCAGGTTTTTAGTAACTCAACAGTACAAAAACCATTCATCGTACAAATTCCCTAGACTACGATAGACAATGTGGCACCACAACAAGGGGACACATTCTCTCAATATTCAGAGTAGTGCTCAACCTATATGGGTTTTTCAGTGGCCACATCTTAAATAGTAAATACAAGGATTCAGCCTAACAAAGAATCAAATACCAATAGTTATTTGTTGCTAGTGCAACATTATTTCATCCATGTCACAGTAAAGCGGAATTTATATGCTTATATTTTGAATATATAGCTGATTAATGTTTGTGTGCCTTGTTATAATTAAATCATGCATTATAATAGAGTGCTGAAGGGATGGCATATTTTCGATGCCCAAAACCCAGAGACGAGTTAACAGTTGAACACTTCTGGGTCCATTGCTCCTGAAGTCAGTGGGTGGTTAAATGCCTGAAAATAGGACTGTGGTTAACACAAACTAAGATATTTTGACATTTTATTTTAAAATATTAAATACCCCTTGTGCTTTTTTAAAAGCTTTTACTTGCCTTGAAAAATCTGGTTCCTAACAAGTAATGGGACCACAGATGTTGTCATTAAACATCATCACCCTGAAAAGGTAAACTCATCTATTTTTTTTAACCGGGGTGTAGTTCGTTTATAGTCTACATTTCGCTTTTTACTTCAACCGATTGAATTTAGCCTTCAAAATTTAAGTTGCATTCATTTGTGGAGATTATCATGATGAACAAAGGACATAAGAATCATAAACTAAATCTAAAGAAATCCAAAAATGTACTCTAAATCTATCATCTAAAATGTAATTTATTCAAAGCTGAATCTTCAGCAGCTGTAATCAAGTGCATCAGATGTGTCTCAGTTCAGTGTAATAATATCAGCAGTAAGTACGCAGCTGAGAATGACCTTCATCTATATACATACAACTATAAATATTGTGTTACATAATGTCTCACAGATATTACGTTCCAGACAATATCTAAACATGAATGCATGAAAATGCACATTCGGGTTGCAGCTCAGCTTTTTTTTTTTTATTGCTGTCAGTGTTATGCAGTGATATATATATATATATATATATAATATTGTTGTATGTTATCAGATGTTTTGCCTCAAATGTCAGTACTTCCACAGGTTAATGCAGTCTATGCTCATCCTGCATTTATTTGATCAGAAATACAGTAAAAATGGTAATATTGCAATTTAAAACAATTGTTTTCCATCTGAATATTTTAAAAAATGTGATTTATGTAATTTTTTCCTGTGATGCAAAGCTTCATTTTCAGCATCATTACTCCAGTCACATGATCTTTCAGAAATCATCTTAATATTGTGCAGATTTGATGCTCAAAAATCATTTATCACTTACACATCAAATAATGAAATAATGCAATATTTTAATACTTCAAAAAAAAGTACAATATACTACTAATCTACTATTACTAATTTACTGAAGACGTTGATAGTAAATCTGTGGAATTTTCAAGCAATGACCAAAGTATTAAGGTCGAAGTATTTTATTTTTTTTTTAAGATTATGCCTATGGGAACATGGGATCTAACAGGAAATAAAAATGTTTTATTTAATATGGGGAAAAAAAACAACAACACATTAACAGACTTAGGATGTTTGGTTTAAATGCATTTGATTATTGTATAGTCATTTTTTGAATTTTTTTTTTTAAGATTATGCCTATGGGAACATGGGATCTAACAGGAAATAAAAATGTTTTATTTAATATGGGAAAAAAAACAACAACACATTAACAGACTTAGGATGTTTGGTTTAAATGCATTTGATTATTGTATAGTCATTTTTTGAAATAAATTACAATTGTTTCATTTCAAATGCAGAATTTATTGGACATTCCATTAAACATGAGGAATACTGCTGGAAACAGCTGGGAGCAACGTTTTGAAATCTTCGCAAACCTACTTTCTCCTTGCAAAATACTACAGGATGACTTCAATCTGATTGGAGGTAAAGCACAAGAGATTTGGCTTAGAAAACAAATTCAGATATACAAAGAGGTTCTGCAAAAGTTACTATTAGTGTTTCAAACAGGTGTGAACACTGGAAGAGGAAGACACTTTAAACAGTTCAGATGAACCCGCTATATTGCTATGCATCACAAATACATGATTGTGCCTCTGCTGAGGTGAAGAGGAACAAGATCGATCATTAACAGAAAAAAATAAAGTCCAATTATTCCAGCATTTGGTCCATCGCTAGACTCACCAAACTCAATACGTGATGCTGAATATGACCCACTGACAAGATCTGAAAGAGGTAGATCTCTACAATTCTCTAGGTCTGTGATCAAGTAAAAAAAAAAAAAAGATACGACGGTTCACTAGTATTGAGAATAGTACAGATGTTAGGGTCATTCTGACGAAACCTCTCAAAAACATTTCACCCCAAAATCAATTACATGTGAAAGAAAATGAAGCCTATTTTATGATATTTTCTACTATTTATGACATCTAGCACTTGAGCACATTCCCTCACCCCCAATTCTATTTTACAGCATTACACTAAAAACCTGTTATACTAAATCTGAGTAATCTGACGCAGCAAATGTATTCCTTTAAACTTTGTGGTTTACTTCAAAATGTGCTCAAATGTCATAAAAATAATACAAAAAACAGCTTCACTTTCTTTATGCAAAAAGTATTCCTTTTTTTACATTTTTGGGGATCCAAGGTTTAATACTTCATATTTGGCTGTGCATAATAAGCTGAGAGTTTAGCACGCTCGGAGATACCTGGATAGAAACAGAAACATTCATTATGGGTTTGTTTTTTGCATGCAAGTGTTAAGGCTTCTGGGTCGTGGGCCTCGCACTATGAATCGCACCTAAGGTCAATGTTTCGTACTTTTACTCCAAACAAAAGGCAGAATCAAAGGTTTGCACACGGAAATCATTTCATTTCCAAAGACAGACGTGATAACAGCTTTAGGAGATCTGCTGGTCTGATGGCGATCAAGCGGTGAGGCGTTGAGTGGCCAGTTCCTCGGCATCGTCGCGGTTCTCGTGGATCTCCGCCAGCGTCCGCACGAAGCGGGTCCATTCGTCGCTCCGCGGGACTGAGATTTGCTTTGGTGGAACAGAGAGAGAGCGTTTTGTAAAGAGGTGTAAGTCTGTTGTGGCCACACAGCGGACGATCAAACTACTCTGAAACTGTCAGAGTGAACTGACCCCTGCCTAACAATCGTCCATCTCCTTCTTCTACTCTATCTGCTGAGTGACAGAGAGCCTCTGTGGCCCCTCTCTGACAGACATGTAATCGTAGTGTGTCATCTCTTTAGAGGCTCGGAGTGGGCTTTTTACACGACTGTCTCGGTGACAGAACAGCAGCGAGGGAGAAAGGTGTTACGGTGTAGTGGGTCTGTGATGTGTCTTAAAGGGATAGTTCACCCAAAAATGAAAATTCTGTCATTAGTTACTCACCCTCGTGTCGTTCCAAACCCGTAAGACCTCCGTTCATCTTCCGAACACAAATTAAGATATTTTTGATGGAAATTCTGAGCTCTCTGACCCTCCATACACAGCAAGGATCCTTACACGATCAACGCGCAGAAACGTAGCGAGGACATCGGTAAAATAATCCATGTGACATCAGGGGTTCAACTTCTATTTTGCGAAGCTACGAGAATACTTTTTGTGCACAAAGAAAACAAAAATAACGACTTTATTCAAAAATTTGTCTCCTTTGCGTCACCCTATAGCACCATTTTGGAGAGCATCACATGCGTAAACAACGTATCCGCGTACGGTGCTGCTGACACAGAACAGCATACACCATTTACGTTCAGTGGATACTCTCCAAAATGGCGTTACAGGGTGATGCGAAGGAGACAAATTGTTGAATAAAGTCGTTATTTTTGTTTTCTTTGTGCACAAAAATTATTCTCGCTGCTTCGTAATATTACGGTTGAACCCCTGATGTCACATGGGCTATTTTACCGATGTCCTCGCTACGTTTCTGAGCCTTGATCGTGGTAGTTACCTTGATGTCTATGGGAGGGTCAGAGAGCTCTCGGGATGCATCAAAAATATCTTAATTTGTGTTCCGAAGATGAACGGAGGTCTTACGGGTTTGGAACGACACGAGGGTGAGTAATTAATGACAGAATTTTCATTTTTGGGTGAACTAACCCTTTAAGTAAACTCTACTGTCTCACCTCGCCGACGTCGTAAATGTGGATCTGTCCCTCTGAGTCACCCACGGCGATCTCTCTGCCCGACTGAGACCAGCGCAGCCTGTTCAGAGCGGGACTGCCGTCCACAGACACGCTGGCAGTGGGCACCTGCACACACACACACTTAATTTGTGTTCCGAAGATGAACGGAGGTCTTACGGGTTTGGAACGACACGAGGGTGAGTAATTAATGACAGAATTTTCATTTTTGGGTGAACTAACCCTTTAAGTAAACTCTACTGTCTCACCTCGCCGACGTCGTAAATGTGGATCTGTCCCTCTGAGTCACCCACGGCGATCTCTCTGCCCGACTGAGACCAGCGCAGCCTGTTCAGAGCGGGACTGCCGTCCACAGACACGCTGGCAGTGGGCACCTGCACACACACACACACAGATTCAATTTATTTTCTCCATCTGATCATAAAGACTGAGTGTCTGTGATGTTGCAAGCGATGAAATCTGATCTCTTTGTTCAGTCAGTATCTGATACATACACATTATATATTTTATTTGTCACAAGTGTGTGTGTAACATAGGAGAAGGGGATTCATTACTTCCAAGCTGATATTTAAAAGTAACTGGCTGTCAGACATGTTGAAGTACACACAGCACAAGGCTGAACACAAGAAACTGTACATTTTTCATATACTGGCTTTCTTGTATAGCAGAAATGGCTTATAAGAACATAGATCAACAAACACACTCTGATGCCTTGTTGCGAATTTGGACTCAAACTGTCAATGAGTAAAACATGCATAATAAGTAGTAAAACATATAGCTTACTGTATACAGTAAATGTGACCCTGGACCACAAAAGCAGTCATAAATAGCACGGGTATATTTGTAGCAATAGCCAACAATATACAGTCATGTATAATCATGACATAAATTCTGTGTTTTGCAAAGTTTGCTGCTTAAGCTGTTGTGGTGTTCATTCATATTGTTTCTAGATTATTGTGTAGAGTGATCAGATGCATTTTAAATAATTGCTAAAATCTTCATTGGCCAAAAATGAACTTTTCACAAAAAAAACAAATTTCACTGTTTTTTCGATCCTGACACAAAATGACCAGCTAACATTAATTGACTAATCATATCAGCAGCACACGTGAAAGTGTGAATGAGTGCTAGTCAGGTGAAATCACTATCATACTAATTAGACTGTAAGAGCAGACTAATTGCTATAAAAGGAGGGAAGAAGCGCTTCCAATCATTGTGTTCTTGTTAGCAATGGTTACCTCCAAAGAAACACGTGCAGCCATCATCAAAATGGCCTCACATGCAAGGAAATTGCTACAATTTTTATGTAATTGTTTTAAGTTTAAGTAAAAGTTTGATTATGAGTTCAGACCATTATTGTTAATACTAAATGTGTCACTGAATATGTGCATCATTAATTCAATAATATTTCATGTTTCACCTCTGTGTCATTGTTGAGGTTCCACAGGTCGATGCGTCCGAGTCCGTCCACACAGGCGAAGAGAGCGGGATGAACCGGAGACCACATAACATCATACACATAATCAGAGTTGTCCTCAAACGAGTACAGTGGCTTGTTACTCTACAGCAGAGAGAGAAACACAGTCAGCCGAGAGACTCATGACAGCGTTATGGAATAAGTGTTTATGAATGCTGTGCTACCTTGGTGCTCCAGAGTTTAACGGTCCAATCAAATGAGGCGGTCAGGAAGAGATGAGAGAAATCTACGGGTCCTGCCGCTGTGTGACAGTGAATGCCTGTGATTGGACCATGATGCCCCTCAAACATCTCACTGATACCTGCCCGACTGCTCACACACACACACACACAGAGAGACACACACACAGACACACACACAGACACAGACACAGACACAGAGACACAGACAGACACACAGAAACACACACACACACACAGACACAGACACAGACAGACACACAGAAACACACACACACACACAGACACACAGAAACACACACACAGAAACACACATACACAGACACACACACACACAGACGCACACAGACACGCACACACACACACACACACACATACACAGACACACACACACACACACGCACGCACAGACACACACACAGACACACACACAGAATGGCAGAGGTTTAATGATCAGCATCTCAGCATGTCTCCGTCACACAGTTAACACTTCACATCAACTAACCACACCGCTGAGTGTGTGTGCGCTCATTACTGTGAGAGGTAAACAGCCGTGTGAGAGATGCTGAGTGTGTGTGTAGAGGATCAGATAACCACAGCATCACCAATGAAGAGGAAACATTCACTCTCGCAGCTCATTACAGCACACACAAACACATCGACTACAGCCCATTCATAAAAACAAACCGCCTTTCATATTTTTGATATGAAAACTTGCGTCAGGACATTCCAAAGTTTAGAGAGACAACGAATCATAACATAAAATTATAACTGTTTCAGTAAAGCTCTGCGGTCACAGAAGACACCATACATTTATTATTAATAGAAATCCAATATTAATTTCCTAATTACATATTTATTAACTATTTACTTACAATTAATTAATTCAATATCAACACCAGCATTCAAAAGTTTGAGGATTGTAAAATTAAGTATCTTATTCTAACCAAGGCTGCATTTATTTGATCAAAAAACAGTAATTTTGTGAAATATAAAATAACAGTTTTCTCCTCAAATAGAAACTGTTTTTCCTTTGATGGCAAAACTGAATTTTCAGTAGTAACATTACAAATGTTTTTACTGTCACTTTTGATCTATTTAATGCATCCTAAATGAATAAAACTATTATTTCTCACAAAAAATCTTATTAACCCCCAACTATTGAATGGTAGTACACATAATTACTATATATTAAGATAAGTATATATTTTCTATAAATATGTAAAATATTTTTTATAATTTTGAATTTAATTTTTATTAATAAATTATATTTACACAACTTTTTTTATTCCACAGTTCTAACATAATGCAAAGCATATTTGCCAAACATAAATGACACCGGTAAGATTTTAGGGTCACACTTTATTTTAAGGTTCAATTCTCGCTGTTAACAAACCATTAACTATGACTTTTGCCTCAATAAACTCCTAATTTTCTGCTTATTAATAGTTAGTAAAGTAATTGTTAAGTTTATTGAGTAGGATTAGGGATGTAGAATATGGTCACGCAGAATATGTGCTTTATAAGTACTAATACACAGCCAATATGTTAATAATAGGCATGCTAATAAGCAGCTAGTTAATAGAGACCCTATACTAAAGTGTTTACTAAATTTGTGTAATAGTACTAATAAACTTAATGTGTTACATACACAATATCCAGCTTTACTATTAAAATGTAGCAATATTACCTGCCATGACGACAGGCTGTGTAGACCGATCCATCCTCACTTCCCACCACAAAGTTATTAACGTCACCCAGAGGGAAGGACATGGAGGTGACCGCAACTGATTTAGACTGCTTAAACACCAGCTCCATACTGTCCTGTTGACACACGGACACACACACACACACACACATCAATGACACCACAGCCAGCAGCCTCTTCCACAGATCAGAAATGCGCAATTTAAATTCAGCCAGCGCTTTACCAATCATTAACATCTGACACTGCGGTTTGGCAAATGTTTCTGGAAACTCAAGGGTGAGCAGCATGGAAGAGCTTGTGCTCCCCAGAGGGCTTTTTATAGCGCTTCTGATGCCAACGAATTCACGTCAGCAAGATTTGCACACAACATTCACTGTTTTTACTTGGTTGAGTAAGCAAGTTGCTTTCTTTGAGCATGATATTCAAACTCTGAAACCATGATGGCATAGTTGAAGGGCATTGTGGGTACCTGTGGCTGAGACAGCATGTCCAGACTCCAGGAGCACATCTTTCCATCAGTGGAGATGCTGATGAGGTTATGAGCGTTTTGTGTGCCAACCACATTAACACAGTACACTGGGTGCTGCACGGAGAAACAGAAATGTAAGGTTAAGGGTAAAAATAATACAACAAATCAGAAAAATATGCTATATTTTGTTTTAGGACACCATAATAATAATATCTCAAGGTTCTTGGACTGCACCTTTCCAGTATGGTGTGTGAACGTCACGTACCGTGTGCGCCGCAGCAGAGAGAGGCGTCCTCTGGACAGGAGTGCGTCTGTTACTTCTGTTGTCCCACAGGACGATCTGTCCCGAGTAAGTGCCACCGACAACCAGGTTTGGGTGAAACTTCGCAAACGCTACAGACATGACAGCAGACTAGAGGAGTGAGAGAGACAGAGATAATTACACATTCATTCAATCCTACTGGACAAATCCGAAAGGGAAGTCAGGTTTAGCAGCTTCACCTGGATAATCAAAATTGAAACTACTACATATAATGCTACAATCAATGTTTTAGCCTACTCACTGAAATTGCTCATTGCTACGGAGCCCCTAAAGGGACATGGTGGTGGAAAAAAATCAGATTGAGTGAAAAAATTTGGGGTGGGAGGAAAAAATATTTGTCAGATTTTTTGCGTTCTCTCGCAAAACATTTGCGTTCTCTCGCAAAACCAGTTGAGTTCGGACAAACACTTCCTGTTTACTTTACAGATTGTTGTGGTTCATACAGCTCCATACGTTCACAGTGGAGCAGTTCATAAGAGTTTAGTTTCGAACTTGGACGAAATAGTCAGTGCATGCTTATCAGACAAGCAGAATAGCCCAGAATATGAACGTAACCCGGTAAATTGAATTGCACTTTAAGAGTATCCCTCATAGAAAGAAAATGCTTAATTAATGGACTAAGACAGTGGTAGAAAAAAGCCAAATTCGGTATACAGTTTATTAATAAATTATACATGAAAGCAGGTAAGAACAGAAGCGTTTTCCTCCCATAAAGAAAATGCGGCTTAATGAAGACGGTGATAAAAAAAAGACCAAATATGCTATAGAACTTATTAAAAATATATTCTGTGTACATGCAAGCAGATGAGCCCAT